TTCCAGGTATACTTTGGAAGCTTTCAAGCAAACACACGAAGTGAAACCTAAAACACCTTGAGATCTTCTACAGTTCTGTCAGTCGAGTTTTACCTTTGTAAATGAGTTTTTATTAAAATGACTGATACTGTCTTATCATATGTTCCAGCATACATTTCCAGCGAAAAAAGAGATTTTAAGCTTCCAAGATCAAATTGGCTTGAATTTCAGTAACCAGTAACTATATGTCCTTTCAGAGAAATTTTTAAGTGAGACTTAGGAAGCAGGCTTGTATGTCAGCAAATAGAAGAATTTGTTCAGACATAAATTGATCAGTTAAACAATTGTTATAAAGGAGACGAATATTTGATGATCATCTACGGAAGTTTAACACCAAAAACTCTGTTTGAAACTAGTTTATTCTGAACTGAAGTAATAGGATTACAAGAGGGAAATTGTTTTAAATATCATTCTCAGGCAGGTGCTTTACCGAGGTAGCTACCTTCTTTAAGTCTTATTGAAAGCACTGGAAGAGAGTCTTCCTAAGGGGTGTAGGGTTAATCCTTTTTGTTGAATTACAGGTATGGTTCCAGGATTCCCCAAAGCACCCGTTGCACCACATGTGAATCCAGCATTCTTTCCTGAGGGGCCACCGGTAAGGTTCATTTCATCAGACACAAGTAAAATATTTGTGATATTGTACAGCTTTACACATGTGATGTGTGCTGAGTGATACATGTTCACTTGTATCTGGCTGTAACCTACTTTCATTTTTGTTTTTTTTTTTTTCTAGCCAGAGACATTCTTGGCAGCTGGAACTACAGGTGTCGGTGCAACACAATTTTTGCCAAGGCCAGGTAAGCAGTGTTAACTCTCTTGAAAGGACAAACTACTCATCCGTAGGTAAACGTGTACTACACTCAACATGATTTTAATGTGATCTTATATGTTTTGGTGTCTTTAATTTTTTGCAGGTGATGAGTTTAGTGAGTCCATGAAAAGAAATCAAATGCTTGCAAGTACCGCTATCAAACGAGCTATGTCCGATGCTAATGCTGGTAAGATGCGTTATATAAGTAAATAAGTAATCATCATTGTTTTTCTTCATAAATTTTGCACTTAAAAAAAATACTGAAAAACGTGAAACTTATTTACAAATAAGAAGATCAGACTCATAATGTCAATTTAAGATAAAACAACAGTATACCAACCAACACATAATCTGAATGAACATCATTTTTCTGATATCTTCAGAGTTCTCGGGGGGAAAACTTTTGAATGGAGAAATTTTCTATTAGATCTGGCGAAACTAATAGACTTGCCATGAAAATAGGCCATTTTACAGTTATGTACTTAGTTGCCAAGCCTTTGATTTGGAGTAAGGCTGAAGGTGACTCTGTTGTGATAGAGACCAGTATCTAGTTAGCACGATAACAAAGTAATTTACATTTGAAAAGTAGCAAGGTTTGTATCATAACAAGGTCACCCTTAGCCTCACTCCTGTTAAAAGGTTTGGCAATCAAGCACGCAACTGTAAAATGGACTATTGTACAGGTCTCAAGGGTCTATGGAATTTTTTTGACGAGTATCTCATAGAGAGAACCGCCCTCAGTTTCCTTGTTCAAAACGTTTGTTATTTGCGATGTATATTGCAGACAATTTTATCACGTTTGGTGCAGTTTTCAGGAATACCTGCCAGTTTAATTGGAGCTCTGATATTCTATTTACGAGTCAACGCACTTTTGGCTAAAGCTACTGTTTTTTTTTTTCTTCATCGAATAGGCGACTACGAGAGTGGAATTGAAACACTAGTGGGAGCCATATCGCTTATTAAACAATCCCCAACGGCTGCAGAAGAGAGATGCCAGGTAAATCTTACAGTTTGCTAACGACTTCTTCGGAGCAGTAACATAATCAACAAACCGAATAGAACGACTTAACTCGAATCAAAACTGATTAATCTTATCAAACTTTCGCTCTGTGATTCTTACAGCTAATAATATCACGACGAAACTGGTCGATCAGTTTTCACAAATCAACTAACTCATTTGTTCTTTTGTCACGGAACTCTTCTCTAAACGTCTCGTAACAGGAGTTAGTTGGCGTAATGTATAAACTAGCCGGCAGAACAGACGCAATTTTTTGGCGTTTTTCAGACGAACGGAGGTAAACGCGAGGCGAGCGCAAAGAGTGAATCACGCGACAGGTGAGGAGCACTTCGCACTTCGCGCTCGTCTCGTGCTTGCCTCCGTTCGACAGAAAGAAGTTTTTAAAAAAGTTGCGTTTGTTCTATAGGCTATGTACAAACCGGTCCTTGAGTTCTTTTGTCAAGCTCGTCCGCTCCTAACTTACTGAGGCACAAACTAGCATGACAGAATAAACAGTAAATTGATGACTACTGTGGTTTTGTGATAGGTCCTAGTACAGTCGTTACAAGATTGTTTGCAAGGACTGGAAATGCAGCTACTAGAAAGGAGGTAAATATCTGCCCAAGTCTAGTTTGTTTGTTATTTTTTGGCAAGACCTCTGTGAGTTTAGCCATTCTTGAATAGTTATTCGCTCTTTTGGTTGACAATTACTCCAATGTACTTCAGGTCGACTGGCAGTAAACACCATTACAGCGACAAAGATGATTACGAGGGCGAAACAAGAGAAAAACGCCACAGACGCAGACGGTCACGGTCAAGATCGCGTGATAGGGACCGAAGGTCAAGATCGCGTGACAAACGTTCGAGATCGCGTGACAGAGACCGCCGTCGCCATAGATGAGAAAACAAGCGCGAAAGATATTTCACATACTTCTGATTTCGTTTGTTCTTTTAGTTTCTTTTGGCGGTTTTAACTGCAATTGTAAATATGCATTTAGGGAGTGACTTTGTTTCCGGCTATCGTGCGATGTTTCTTCCATCCTCATTTTGTCGAGACAGTCTCAGGGTTTTTTTCCGCCGGAAAGATTGCTATGTTTACGCCCTTTAGAGAGCTTTGGGAGCTTGTATCGAAGAGTTGTAAGTAGATGTCAAATAAAATCACGAGGAAGTCTTATTCTGGACTGGGTTGTTGTTTGTTTCAGCATAATGGGAAAACTTTGATTGAAGGTATTTTCTTCCACTCTGATTGGATGTTGAAATTTACTTTTGCTTTGCAATCTAAAAGCACTGTAGTGTATGCGTACTGTCTCCACCTGTCCTCTATCAATAATTCAGGATCTGTGAAAACTCGCTCTTTTAGCTCTTTGCTTAAATGTGGATCTCGTTTCTCTTTTGAGGGTACGAGTGATGGTAAGTAACAACAGAATGCGGAACTTCACCTGATTTTGACCTGTTGTTAGTTGTTTTTTATTTCGGGTATCTTCGTAGTTAGACATTCTCATCAGAGATTATTGAGCGCAGGATGGTGCGTGATTAAAAAGAAAGCTTTTCCTTGCTGAAATATCTTAACAGGTGTGATCGGCGCATCATGAAAACGTGGACGAAAATTTTTGTCTTTGAAGAAGGAGCATTTTACCCTTTGAATCAGCAAATTACTCCCAGTAGATCCGTTGATACAATTTTCCAGTTCTTAACGTGACACAACAAAAGAAAATGAACATCTCAAAATAATTCCATAGCGGTGTCTCCGGTGCGTAAAACTTTCTTTATTTGAAGAGGGAGCATTTTATCATTTGTATTAGCAACTAATGCAAAAAAGAGCTACTAAATTTGGGAAGCGAGCAAGGTCCGAAGTTTAACAGGTGACCTTATTCGACGGAATGATGGGACAGTGGAATGGCAGAATGACGGAATATCTTAGAACGCGGAATGTGTTATTGTATAAAACAAAAGTCTCACTGCAATGAATTAAAGTAAGTGTCAATTAACAGGCAAAAGTAGAAGAAGACTAGTTTAATCATTATTGGAGTATCATTAGTAGTACTATTATTATTATTATAAATGTTATTATTATTACAAATATTATTAATATCATATGTTACGATTTAATTCTTGGTTGAATTCCAATTAATCACTTAACTAGTCTATTCTTGAATCGTCTTTCTCTTGTGGAACAGGGTACTCATAAATATGTAAGATGCGGCAGGTTTTCTTTTTGCATGTGAATGCACATCTCCGCAACACTACCTTCTGGCGTAATTACACAACTTCTAGTTTCTTTCAATGGTACAAAAATTGTGCTACATTAGTAGCCACGTGCAGTCTTAGACTGCTTATTTTTTCCCTTGACCTACAAGATGTGAACTCTGGAACTCTGATCAAAAAAAGCCCAATTTCGCAGCAATCTTGTTCCCAGGAGCATCTCGGTTTTCAAATTTCTCTTGCGCCGCCATTTTGAAAACCCAAAGGCCCTTGGGGAAGGGGTTGGCTTAGGTTTGGTTGTAATTTTAGTTTCACCTGTCCTTCTGACACAAACACAGACGCGTTTGACGGACAGCTGAAACAGATAAACAAAAGCACAGAGCCAATATGTACAATAAAAACCTTTTGACACTTCAATATTCAATAAAAAAAGACTCAGTTGGCGCAAACTAGAAGAGTAATGGCCAAAGATAATATAGAATTTCTTGCGCTTAAGTCGGGATTTTTTCCGATTTCTTGCACAATACTGACAAGATGATTTTAATTTCAGTCTTTGAAGGAGGCACATATTGGCATCACAGCAAACGAATACTCAAATAAATGCAAATGACTTTTAATGTTCTCTCGTTACTTGTCATATTCAATTTTGAGCGAAGCTGTTGTATGGCAACATATGGCCGTAGGTGGCAAAATCGATATTCAATAGCTAGAGAGTTCGTTCGTCTGTAAAATAAGCAACTATAAGTGTGACATACTAACAAGGTGTTAAATTTAGTGAGGAAATCTGTTGAGGAGATGATTTGTGGGGATTTGATCAAAATATTTACGTAAGCCGCCAAGAGGAACTCGCAAAAATGTCATAATTTATTGATATCCGCAGAGTTCTTATCTTTCTTTTATGTGGAATATTTAACGAGCTGCGTTATTAAATTCTGCCGGTTGCTATCGTGTTGCTAGGCTAACAAGACTGCTTCAAAGTCAAAACACAAAACGAGTCTGGTTTCACTTTTTGAAACGGATTCTGGAAAGGCAAAACTTTTAACGCGGTTGCGAAAAAAAGTCGTTTATTGAGAGAACTCTGTGAAAATGGCCCAGTCTTCGATAATTGCCGGAGTCATCGTGGAAGACATAGCAAGACATCTAAACTGTCGACTTTGCAGGAGATTAATTCGAACACCGAAACTTTTGCCTTGCCTACACTCGTTTTGCCAAGTTTGTATCCGAGGCTTTGCAGAGAAACTCGCTCCGGGCGAATTTCTGGCTTGTCCGCTGTGCGAAACGGATGCTAAAGTTTCAAAGGAAGAATTGGAAGATCTACCGACAAATTTCTTTCTCGATAATATGTTGGATATTGCTTTGATAAACTCGAGCGACAGAGAACCGGTTCCTTGCTCAAATTGCGACTCGCTGAACTCTCCGGCAACCTCTCGATGCGTGGACTGCGGCGAGTTTCTTTGCCTGAATTGCTACAACGTTCACAAAAGGATTCGCCAGACGAAAGAACACAGGATTTTGACAATTTCCGAACTTCTTGCCAGTAAAACTGGCGAGGATTTACACCGTCCTGCTTTCTGTAGGATACATCACAGCGAGCCCTTGAAATATTATTGTGAGACCTGCAATGAAGCTGTGTGCCGAGATTGCGTGTTGATTGAACATCGACAACACAAGTACGACTACATTAAAGACTCCAAAAAGATACAAAAACAAAAGGCTGTCATGGAGAATTTGTTTGAAGAGTGCTCGGGGAACATTCCGTTTTTGGAAAAGTCTATTAAGGAAATCCAAAGTATTTCTGACACGTTGCGAGGAAGGCTTGCGGCAGTTAAAGCTGAAATTCGGGAGGCCACTTTACATCAGATCAAAGTTCTAAAGGAAAAAGAGAGACAATTACTGATGGAGGCCGACAAAATTTACAACGCAAAGTCGCCTATTTTAAAACGCCAAAAAGACCAGCTCCAAGATGAATTCACGAAATTTAAGACAGGATGTGATTTTTCAGAGCAGGTTTTAAAATATGCGAACGAAGTGGAACTGCTGTCGTTAAAAACTCCCATAACAGAAAGGTTGACGGAACTGAATAATACAAAACTTGATTGTAAACCACACGAAAACTCCGAGCTCAAATACGAAGTAAACAGTAAGGAAGCAGAGCCTGTGGTCGCTCACTCTTTGGGAACTCTTAAAACCAGCGGGCCGCATTTAGTACTGGAAGACATGGAGGTGGCGCCAACAATGAATGGAAGAACGAACGGGTACAGCGAAGATACCGTTACAAGGGAGGTACCCCTCTCTGTGGAGTTAAGAGACCCCAATGGGGTTCTATTACCACCCGAGACAATTCATCAAGGTAAGTTGTTGTTTACCTATGCAGATCTAGATCGTCCACTGCGCTCGATCTGTTTAATCTTCCCCATCCGTAGCCAACCGTGGTTTTTGTTGCCTCTTTGATATTTTCCTATCTTGCCCAGATGATATTTTTCAGTCCCCTAAGGTTAGTTTCAATCGTCACAAAACTTCACTCACAACACTATTTGCATGATAGCCCCATTAAAAGAAAATTATTGCACTCAAGTTTGAGGCGAGTTACGTCCTTATGTTTCATCCTAACCGGATGTCCTTTCTTATGTCAAAAACGATGGTTTGAAATTTTAAATTTTTATGAGTGGTAAAATTTGTGAAACTTAGTTCTTTTATTTCACTGATTTTAAATTCTTCATTAAGTTCAGTTTTTAAATGACTGAGAAAATTGAGGATCTATGAACAGTGTTTCTATGCGAGTATTCTGTCACTGGGTTACTGTGAGTTTGATACCTGTAGTTGAATTTATTTTTCTCAGCGCGACCCAATTTTCCGCTGTTATTGAAAGTTAATTTTCGCCTAGAGAACAGTTAAAAATATGTTTAATAACCCGAAGAGAGAAAATCGTGTCATTCAGTCCCTTGATTTAACAGCGATGGTTGTAATTTAGTGCTTTCTTTCAATGGAATATATTTTTTGTTGTTCGTATGGCTTCGGCATGCTTTGTGCTAAGGCGATAAATCTGAGCGGAAAAAATTCTGTCCGCAACTTACAATGCGAACCTCGAACTCAGTTAGTTAAAAATTATTCCGTGAGTAAATGTCGGATATTGGATGGTAAATAGCTAACGAGGTGCGTAGCGTCGCGTTGGCAATAACAAATCTCGTATCCAACAGACGCGAATAAAATAATTGTTTTATTAAATAAAATGATCCACATTGCACGGGAGAAGTGATTGTTACCAGCCAAAAGTAAATCCAGCTTGGCAACAGTATTGGGTAAATTATTTTCCATACAAGGTAACTCGGTATATATATAAGCTGATAACCAGTGCCGAGTGAGCCAATGTAACAGTAGAAATGCAATAATCGGAGTTTTAAATTTAGTAATAAGAGGTATATATTTCATGTCGTAAAATAGGTTGTGGTTATTCATCATGCTAAATAACACTTCAAAAGAGAAATATAATCGTTGTCTCACAATGTGGTCACATCGTATGTGGATCGTATATAATTCATTTTTTTCTTGTTCTGTTTCTTTCTCAGCTGATGGTCAGTCTTTCTCTGCATATCATCCTTTCTTTAATGGAAATTTCTCGTTTTCTGTGTTTATTCGCGGACAAGTCGTGGAAGGCTTTCCGCTGGACATAAATATTGGTGATATAAGGCCTCGTGTTCGAAGCGCCAAGAGAGCAATCGCAGGGAGTGGGTCTAAGTTTGGAAAGTTAGGAGATCCCCAGGGGGTGGCAGTGAGTGAAGATGGCAATGTTATCGTCAGTGACTCGCGGAATCATCGTCTGCAGGTAAGTAAAGCACATTGATGACCACAAAGAGCAAATATGACTGAATCTTCAGGTGTTAAAGTACTTGTGCTTTAAATCGCGAAGGATTCTGTACTGTCCAGTGTTCGGTTATATAGTTTCCTCACACAGGCCGTGAAATCATTAACACACCCTCGAATTTGACCTGAAAAATCCTAAAATCCTGACTTTGGAACATGTATGCTCTATGGTTGGATATCGAGTCGGCTTTTTCTACTAGGGTGAGTGATGTTATTACCTAAAAACTTTACATCCTAACGCAAGTGTGCGTTTTTTTTTCCATACTGTTCTCTATATATCTCCTCTTGTTATGACAAGAAAATTTTGTTTCACTGTCAATTAAGAGCTCCTTTAGTTCACGATCATTGCTGTTACTCTCGCAACCTTAATGTTTTATTCAGGAGGGATACTGTAAGCTGCAAGTCGCACTTAGGGGTAAAAGGTTTGAATAATAAGGCTTCAATACTAATTTTTGACAAGCTCGATGTTCAGCGCGTGAAGAATTGAAGAATTTTGATTTGACAGGTTTTTAAGTTTTCCATAATCATTTTGAAAGGCTTTTTAGTATGGTAATTAGAGAATCGTCAAAATATAGCCGTCTTAAGCTCGCACTCGCTCAACAACGCTTGATTATTTTTGTGGATTTATTCTGGTATGTCTTTTCCCTGTGTTTGTGTGGTAGGTTTTTGACATGGATGGAAACTTCCAGTTCCTCTTCGGCGCACCCGGAAGTCGAGAAGGTCATTTCCAGTTTCCCAGCGGTGTAGCCGTGACCAGTGAGGGGGACATCGTTGTAGCAGATACCATGAACAATAGAATCCAGGTAAATCGTATTGCAAGGCACTTTTCATGTCCTCAAGAAAACAATTGGCCTAACTGACCGAGTTTGACGCCCAATTGAAAATTACTCAATTTCTCTGTAGATTTTTACGAAAGACGGAAAGTTCATTAAGAAGTTTGGTAAAGAAACGATGGAAGGAGAGCGCCTCTATCAGCCATACGGAGTAGCTGTCGACAACCAAGGTCGTATCTTCGTCGTAGACCGCGGCAAAGCTCGAGTGGTAGTTTTCAACGAGAAAGGTCAAGTTCTATTCACGTTTGGTAGCCTTGGCGATGGAAGAGGACAATTCAACTGCCCTTCAGCTGTGGCAGTAAACAGTAAAGGCCACGTGATCATCACTGACTTCGGAAACGACCGGGTGCAGGTTTTCGGCTCGAAAGGCCAGTTTCTATTCAAGTTCGGAAAGAGCGGGAAAGCCGACGGCGAACTTAACTGGCCAACTGGAGTAGTTACGGATGCCGACGATCACATCATCGTAAGCGACTCGTATAATCATCGTATTCAAATTTTCAACGAGGACGGTTCGTTTATGACCCGATTCGGAAGCGAAGGGAGTAAGAGAGGGCAGTTCAAGAGACCAGAAGGAGTGGCTGTTACGAAACAGGGAAACATCGTTGTTGCTGATTGGGGTAATGACAGAATACAGGTGTTTTGAAGCTTTGGTCCACAGTAATGCTGTATTTCGTAGTTTTGAATCGAACTTTGACTTAAGGTAAATTGACCGTCTGAAAAATAAGCATATTTGTTACCTCGGCATGCAAACGAACTCATCAGGCGCTGGAAAACACAAGTGAAATTTGCAAGTAGTTGTTCTTTTGTTTCTGGTTGTTTTAGAGGATGAAACGAGTTTTTTGTTTGTATCAATAAAAGAGCGTAGCTAGGTAAAACCAATTCAATATTAACCTAACAAGTGGTATAAATAACGAAGGACAGTTTGTTTTTCTTTCTTGTAAGTGTAACTCGTCATCACTTCTTGCATCGATGCGAACAACTGGAAACAGAGCAAAAAGTAACGATTACTTTGAAAACCTTTCGTGGTTTGAGTGAAGTGGATATTGTAGAGTCTTTTGTGAGAGCCATACTAGATAATTTTTGAGTGATAGATCATTATGACTGCACAGCGAAAACAAATGAACACCTTTTTTAACAGCCGGAACCATCTTATCGGTAGTGAAACAATAAAATTGACACAAGCCTGCCATATGAATTAAGCGCACTTCTTTTTCAAGTGTTTTCAATAGAACAAATTATTCCCAACACATAGTGCAATTTATCCACAGCGTAAAAGCTAATCCCTATACTTGAAGAATAACCACGCCCATAAGCTGAAGCCTCCGTATACTTTATACCCAGCAACCCATTCCTGCATATCCTTACACAGGTATCGGTAGGAACCGTACTTTCACGCTGATGATTTATGCGACATTTTTCAGAAAAAAAATTGATAAAAGTACTCAACAATTCAGTATGGCTCAGGTAAGGAAATTCGAAAAACCGCTTCGTTTCCAGGTCCCCTCTCTTTCTGTGAGAGGATCCCGATAACAAGGTTGGGAAAAAGAGGGCCGGCTTGGTGCCGTATGACGGTAGGACCCCGCCCTGTTTCTGCCCCCTTACCCTACACTCAGATCCGATCCGCACGAGGGCGCACGGCGCAGCCAGAATCAAAAGGCGAAACAAACCTAACCTTTTCATCTTCCTTAGTTGACTAAATTTTGCACTAGGCGCCCATCCGTCTGAATTTTATGGATTATGAAGGCTCACGCTTGATAGCGATAACGGGGCTTGGTTCTCGATTATTATTGAAACCGAAAGAAAATATTCTACCCGCTGGGTCCATTTTTGAAATTAATAAAACAGCCCATGTGGTTGTAATTACAGAGGAAATCATGCGAGGATATTGAGTGTGTTTGGAGCGGAACACGCAATGTTTTGTCTTTGACTTGAATCGAAAGCTAACAACAGCTGGTGAGGTAACGACAACCTTGAACACCGGAAAGAGCGAAACGCAAGCCGTTAAAATGCTAAGGATTCAAACACAAACATGTTAATGGATTCTGCGGCTTTTTGGCAGAACGCAATAAGCTTAAGAAGACATAATACTTGAAAATTGGGAAATGCAAATGTTTTAGTTCATTACATTAGCTATTCATTTTTCAGTTTTCTTTTTTTTGCGCTCTGTCATCTTTATCTCGTTAATCCTCGTATTTTCCTACGTTATCTCGTGACAACCTCTCTGTATGTTTCCTGCGTTCGAGTGGAATTTTTTCCTATCTTTTCTATCTCTGGCCAAAACAAAGCGCCCAAGGCAAGCTCTTTTCTTTATCTACGTAGATTTGTGTCCGTTTATAGATTTTCTATTACGTAATAAATTTTTGACTGATACAGCAAAATTGCGGCGACTAAAATAACCTACTTCTTTGTGTTTCAAATTTATCCATAAGTGTCGGTGGAGCAACTTGAATCTTTCTTCCGTTTAATCAGATTACTTTGAAAAAGGAGATATTCAGAACATTTGGCAACATTTTCTGCGCATGGAAAAAATAGATCAGAAACACTGAATATCTTGCATGAGAAAAAGCTCATTGACATGTTATGTAGACTTTCATGGACAAACTCCACACTTTTTTTAAAAAAAATTAATTTCGTGTCTGTTTATGCTAATAACTGCAGCTAAAACAGTGGAACCGAAACACGACAGGTAGAATAAATTGGGCTTAAAATCAAAATGCCGACGTTTAAAAAAAAAAGATGCTATTAGCAAGTACTGATAAACTGCTACTGACTTAACTTGACGTTTTGTCGATAAAATCAAATCCAGAGGCAAAAATGAAATACAAAAAGCCAAAACGTCCTATTTGAAAAAAGAAATTGCGACATTTTAAGAATACGTCAACATCATTAGTGCTTTCAGGTCCGCAGACAACTGTTTTACTCTATTTAATTTGCCACCAAGAGCTCTCCTTCTCCTGCTGATTTTTTTGGGCTATTTTGTTTCTTCTGCCACAAAATATTCATGACATTAAAAAAGTTATTGTTTTGATTACGTCTCCCAATGTACTTTAATTTTGTCTAAGGCAGGAGTGTCGAAAAACTGTGAAACGATTTAATGCTTAGTCCATGTTTAGCTCGTCAAAGATTTGTCACAAGTTAATTATTCATGATGACCCTTACGTCATAAACATGAATAATTAACAAGGATTAGGGGAACAACATGGCGGATGACTGCCATTCATTCTGTTTACACGGCGTGAGCTGTCGTGGGAAGAATACAATCGTTGCCTTATCTTATTTCAGAGGTGTGTACGTTACATCAAAACTATTGTTTCATAACGCAACGAGGTCTTGAGTTTGAATCAAGGACAGGAAGACAGAAAAATGGCCTCGGATGTCGAGCAAAATTTGTGTGGAGCGAATAACAACATCCGTTCAGTTCCGCGCGGTGGAACGGCATCCTTCGCGATCACGGAGGGCGAAGTTTTGATTGAAAGCGAATTTTTGGAGCTGAACAGCCAGCATCACTATTCTAAGACGGTTCATATTTTATTGACGGATGAGTTTGTTTTTGTCAAAGAGATGAGAGATCTCAGGGAATCAGACACTCATGTGCTTCAGTACGAGTCAGCCAAAACAGTTACGAAATTTCTGCGTTCAGACGTGAGCATGACGGTTTGTCAGGGAAGTCCGTTTACTTTCAAAGCTAAATGGAGCAAAGAAGCTTCATCGTGGAAAAGGTACGAACTCTGCGGCAAGGAAGAGGTCTGGCCGAAGTGGCTTCGGAGTTTTAGTGTGGAAGAACCCCGAGGGCATCATATGATCCCGTCCAGTAGTATCTGTGAAATGGGAGGCGACTCCGACTCTGATGATTGCAGCGAGGAAGATGATGGTGAAGAAATTCAAATGCCGGGATATGCTTTGACTCTTTCTGTCGAACGTACGATTTCCATGTGGTCTATGTCGATGTTGAACCCAAGCAGAGTACGTAGACAAGTTATTGGTCAACGACGCTCTCTTCCTCAGCTTGAGGGCGATTTGGAAAAAATCCATGTGGACGATCTTTCCGATAGTTTCACTGCAGAATCGTTGTATAGATCGAACTCGCATCCTAGATTATCTCTCTCCAAATCTTTTCGATTCCCTTCGTTGCCAGACGGTAGTGACTTGGAGAATGTTTGTGTAGATTCAGATTTGAAAAATTATGCTTGCAGGAGTAGAGATCAAAGTAGTACAGACTGTCCAAGTCTAGTGTTGAACTCTTCTATGTTACAACAATGTGAGGGGCACAGTAAATATGCAACCCTCACCAAATTACAGCAGAAAGTCGAAAATCTGCGTTCTCATCCTTCTAATCTTAATTTTGTGAGAAGGAGTAAACATGAAGATGTACCATTGTGGGATACCCTAACCCCGCCTAAGCACCGTCGCAAACACTCCCTTAATGTTGCCATGAATAATGAGGCCAACAGGATCTCTATGCCGTCAGACTCTGGAACAAAAAGGAGTTGCCACAGCCCTACTTTTGGCAAGCAGGAGTCAATTGAGGAAGACATATCAGTAAAGGATACCCATGAAACCAGAACAACAGATGCTTCAGTGAGCCCAAAAGAGACAGATTCATCTGGTAGTGTTAAAATGATTGAAAAGAGATCAGAATCTTTGCCCTCTTGTAAGAGACCTGATTTGTCACATGTTTCTCATTCAGCTTCGGAGAGGAGAAGAAAGGTTGGGGTAGTGAGGCAGCTAGACTTCAAAGATGATATGGCAGTGGACTTGATTGACAGCAGTCAACCACCTCGCAAAGAAAAAATTAAAAGGTTTTGGACTATCTTATCTAAGAAGAGACCAAAGTTAAAGACACAATTAACAGGAGATGACGATTCCTCGAAAAACCTTGATAGTATCAATCATGATGATGACAATTTGTCAAGTGTTTTAGAATTTGAGTCACCACCAAATGGCTTTGCTGGAGTTGCTCGCCGTGGTGGGCTAAGCAGCATTTTCTCAGCTATGCCAAAAGACAAAGCAACTGGAGCAATATCAACCAATGAGGAGCGAAGGACAGTAACATCACCAGTTCAAAGCAAGCAAGGTTAGTATCAGAAAGTGTTAAGTATAGATTGACCAAGTTTTGAATATCTCTTAACTTTCTACAAAAATTTCCAAAAATACTGAAAATGCAGAGAATTCAGGACTTGGCTCATCCCAAGTAGAATGTATTCAGGCCTTAAAAATGTACCATTAGTCTATACAAACAAAACACACTGTAAATGTTTTTAATACTGCTGGTCTCATAGATTTTGAGAAAAATACCAAAACAAATTAACTTTCTAGTTTGTTCAATTTTAACAAATTGGTGTAAATGCCCTAGTGCCATGGAAACTGAAACAACTAATTAGTTCATGATTTCTAAGAAAGTATAAAACTTGATATCACCTTTAAATTTCCTCTCAAATGAATTTGTTTGTTGAGAGAAACCTAACACACCAAAAATATGAGTCATGTGGATATCAATCTCTTTTACTTTCCACAACAGCAACTCTGTAAAACTGAAAATTTCATTCTTGGTTAATTAAGGAAGTAAATATAAGATCTCATCTTGACAAAGCTTGGAGAGTTTTAAATTCAGGAAGAGTAAACTGTAAGTGAATTTTTTTGGGGATTTAGAGTTTGCAGGCACTTTTCACTTGGCTGTTAGCTGTGTTTTCCCTTATTTTAAGCACAATGGTTAAAAAAGATAAATTTAAAGAGAGAGTAAGAGCAATCCTTTTACCTGTTGAATATCAAGAGTCCTGAGCAATTTAGGCAGTAGTAAAGGTACTACAGGTGGTAAATTTTACCGTTCACTGCCTAAAAAGGATAACACTGCTTTGCATGCACTGTTAATTGTTCATTCATTAATTTATGGTGTGCTTTAAAATGTCTCTCTTGTGTTTGAAATAATTTCAAGAGTATCCTTTGGTTTACAGGATGTACTTTTATTATTTTTTTCAAGAGTCATTAATTAAACTTCTCATAAAAGCAATTTACACTTGAGCTTCTATCATCTTGCTCTAATTGATTACATTGAATTTTTATTAGCCTAAGAGGTTGATATGAAGATGTTTTTTATTTGCCCTAATGTGTCAGGATAAGTAATGCATGTAGATGAAAGATTTTGGGTTGGAAAATAATGAAAATTTGGCACC